CTTTTGTCATGAACAAAATGGCTATTGAAAGAGTTAGTAAAGATGGTGGCTACCCTATATTATGTAGGCACATGTATGCAGCATTTATTACGGATATTGGCTCCTGTGGTTACAAAAGTTGAGGAGTCCTAACACATGACATCTGTGACCTGGAGAACCGGGAAATGCACTTGTAATTCATTCTCAATTGAAAGGTCGTAAGTGGTTGGGAGTTGTGGGTCTGGGGTAAGCCCCTGACTGCCACAGCCTGAGAACCAGGAGTGGAATTCCAGCTGCAGAGGAGAAATAACATTTGCTTTTCCTCTACCTTTTGTTTTGTTGGACTCTCATGGCTGGGAAGATGTTTGTCCAGAGTGATGATGCAGTTTTATCTTAACTCAATAGACTGACTCAAATGCTAATCAAAGGCTGGTGCTGTGGCACAGCCTGTTAAAGCCCAGATCTGCAGTGCTGTCATCCCATACAGACACTGGTTTGAGTCCCAGCTGTCCGCTTCCCATCCAGTTCCCTGCTAATTTGCCAGGGAAAGCAGCAGAGGATATCCCAAGTCCTTGACTCCCTGCACCTGTGTGGGAGAACCAGAAAAACCCCTGACTTCAGATTGGCTATGCTTAGACCATTGTGGCCACATAGAAAGTGAACCAGGACATGGAAGACCTCTGTCTCTCTGTCTGTACTTCTCTCTCTGTAACACTTTCAAATAAAATGAATCTTTAAAAAGTAATAAACCACAGAATCTTCTGGAAGCACCATCTCAGACACATGTAAAAATAATGTTTACCAGTTACTTGTGCCGCACTTAGCCCAATCAGGTGGGCAAAGAAAATTAACCATGACAGTGAATGATGAAGTTTAAAAGTCTCATTATTTTAGGTGATAACAACAAATAAGTTCAAAAGTGATGAAATAAATAGTCAATTGATTCAGCACCAAAAATCCTTCACCGATTTAGTTTCTTTTTTAATAATTTTCTTCAGTTGTATAGAGAATGTATTTAATTTATTATGTATTTTAGACCAAATAAGTCTGTGCATATCAAGCATATTCAGAAAAATTTTTCCTTCCGTGAGATTCATACTTGACTTGAAAAAATATGCCAACTTTGTGAATTGTTACTAAAAAAATTAAATGAATTTTAACTCAAATATTTTACTTTATTTCAATTTTATATTTATTTGAATATTTATCTAACCATTTTTTCTTTGTTAAAAAGATTTATTTACTTATTTGTAAGGCAAAGTTACAGACAGGTAGAGCTAGAGAGAGAAAGAGAGAGAGAGAGAGAGGTTTTCCATCTGCTGGTTCACTCTCCAGATGGCTGCAAAGGCCAGAGCTATGCCAATATGAAGCCAGGAGCTTCCTTCGGGTCTTCCATAGGACTTGGGACACCTTCCACTGCTTTCTCAGGCCATAGCAAACGGCTCAATCAGAATTGGAGTAGCCGGGACTCGAACCGGCACCCATATGGGATGCCAGCACTGCAGGTAGCAGCTTTACCCTCCATGCCATGGTACCGGCCCCTGTCTAACCACTTTTGAGAGAAGAAAAGGTCATGGACTGATAACATTCTATTCAAAAATATTGCAGTTGGACTTTGGATGGAAATTATATCTTTACCAAGGTACTTCAGAAACAGCATGGAAAAAGTAATGAAAAGGTGAATTAATTTCAATGCAGACATATTTTAAATACATGCATTGTTTTCTTCATAGCACACACTTCCCAAGAAAATTCTGAAAATCCCTCCTACTTGTCAAACTTAAAACTGGGATGCAGGTGTCCCAGGAGGCAGCTTAACCACTGTGCCACAGTGCCCATCTCTGCATTTTTACAATGCAGGTCCACATGCCATCTTCCATATCCAGGTCCAAAAGGGAGCCTATAAATGCTTTCTTCTCAAGGAATAATGGTAGGTTGTGAGGCAGCAGAATCACGCTGGAATATGGATGCTGAGATCTATCATGGCTTCATGTGGATCTGTCATGGGTAAATAATGTGCTGTATGTCTTTTTAAATTTTATTCTTTAAACACAATTTAAGAGAGAAAGAGAGGGAGGGGAGGGGAAAGGGAAGAGAAGACGAGAAAATAGAAAGAGGGAGAAGAGGGAAGAGAAGAGAAGAGAGGAGAGGAGAGGAGGGGAGGGGAGGGGAGGAGAGGGGAGGAGAGGGGAGGGGAGGAGAGGAGGGGAAGGGAGGGAGAGTGAAGAGGAGAGGAGGTGAGTAGAGGAGGAGAAGGGAGGGGAGGGGAGAGGAGGAGAAGGGAGGGGAGGGGAGGGGAGGGTAGGAGAGGAGAGGAGGGGAGGGGAGGGGAGGGGAGGAGAGGAGGAGAGGGAGGGGAGGGGAGGAGGAGGAGAGGAGAGGAGAGGAGAGGAGAGAGGAGAGGGGAGGAGAGGAGGGGAGGGGAGGGGAGGGGAGAGGAGAGGAGAGGGGAGGGGAGGGGAGGGGAGGAGAGGAGAGGAGGGGAGGGGAGGGGAGGGGAGGGGAGGAGAGGAGAGGAGGGGAGGGGAGGGGAGGGGAGGGGAGGAGAGGAGAGGAGAGGAGGAGAAGGAGGGAGGGGAGGGGAGGGGAGGGGAGGGGAGGAGAGGAGGAGAGGGGAGGGGAGGGAGGGGAGGGAGAGGAGAGGAGAGGAGAGGAGGGGAGGGGAGGGGAGGGGAGAGGAGAGGAGAGGGGAGGGGAGGGGAGGGGAGGAGAGGAGAGGAGGGGAGGGGAGGGGAGGGGAGGGGAGAGGAGAGGAGAGGAGAGGAGGGGAGGGGAGGGGAGGGGAGGGGAGGAGAGGAGAGGATTTTCCATCTACTGGTTCACTCCCCAAAAGTCTTTATAGGCTGGAGCTGGGAATGAGCCAGAGCCGGGAACCAGGAACTCAGTCCAGGCTTCCTTTACATGAGTTCTTTCTCTGTGTTCTTAAAAATACTTGTGGAGAAAAAAGTACATATGCATGTGTATACATACATATGTATGTGTATATCTATGTGTATACACACACACATAGATGCAACAGAAAAAAATAAAACAGTATAGCTTTAAAAGATACATTTTAATTTTCTGTAGTTATGCATATATATGTGTGTGTGTGTATGTATGCTTGTTTTGTGTACATTTAGAAAGTTTAGAAAACAAGTAAAGTACCAGACAGATGATTTATCCCCTAATGTGCTTGTAGAGGAGGTAAGTGAGGAAATAATATTATAGCTGTATGTACCAAGGGAGTGACATTCAAAGTAGGAGGAATTTCCCAAATCAGCCAAGAAATAAATTTTACATTGAAGTATGTTTTTGAAGGGCCGGCGCTGTGGCTCACTAGGCTAATCCTCCGCCTTGCGGCGCCAGCACACCGGGTTCTAGTCCCGGTCGGGGTGCCGGATTCTGTCCCGGTTGCCCCTCTTCCAGGCCAGCTCTCTGCTGTGGCCAGGGAGTGCAGTGGAGGATGGCCCAAGTGCTTGGGCCCTGCACCCCATGGGAGACCAGAAGTACCTGGCTCCTGCCATTGGATCAGCGCGGTGCCCTGGCCGCAGCGCGCCGGCCGCGGCGGCCATTGGAGGGTGAACCAACGGTAAAGGAAGACCTTTCTCTCTCACTGTCCACTCTGCTTTTAAAAAACAAACAAACAAACAAACAAAAAAACAAAACTACTTATAGAGTAATCTTGCCATTAGCTTTATCAAAGATAAAATGTATTGCCACTTCAGTAGACATAAGAATTATGACTGGCTAGTCCCTTTTGAATATGCTGCATAAACCTTTGTTTCTTAAACAATGCTAAAGCAGAAACAGTTTTTTGGTCTAGAAGAATCCCGAAGCAATGGGACAATGACCAGAGAAAGATGTTGGGACAGTGGACTTACAATTTTTAGTAACTCAAACTGCATGGTCTTTTAAATTTTTTGGACCTCAATTAATGCATATTTAAAGAGTCCTGTTATATTCTGTTATAACCATCTCTTGCTAAGAGGTGTATATTCATTACTTCATACTTTTGTCTTTAAGGAAATATACACACACACATTCAGATGTTCATCTTTCTTCAGCAGTCTGCGGTAGTTTTCATGACTCAATAAATGGATCACACCATACAAGTCTGTTCTTTGGAAATCAATCACTGGTCTAGCTCTAAAATCCACATTTGTGAGGTAAGGTTCCTCCTTGACTTGAAGTATGCTTATCTCTATACATGCCATTTCTTCTAAATCCCTGTCAGTGTGAGTGACTTCAACCCATTACTCCATCCTGATGTGTGGCTCCTGACTCACTCTGACTTTGAATTAATACTCTGAGGACCTCTAATTCCTGAGAACTGTGGATTTAGAATGCCTCCTAAATTTGCTGCACTGTTTCACTCATTTTTAGTCTTGGTTTATTTCATTATCCTGTTATATGCCATGTCATAGATCAGAAATAAATCTATTATGCTTGGTTTATGTGACTATTAGGCCTATTCAAGGCAAGGGGAATATAAATTCGTGCTAGACAACTTTCTTTCAGTTATCAATATAAAATATATGTGGTAAGTTGGAAATTTGTCTCATGGTTAAGTAGTATATAAAGAACATCTTTGTCATAGTTTAGAAAGAAGAAAAAGTATAATTAAGTTAACCTTATTTGATTGGAGAAAAATTCCTAGAATGACTCACTTAAATGTGTTTCTCATAATAATCAAATTGATCTGACCATCAAGCTGTACTTCAGGTTTGAAAGCCAGTGGTAGAGTCTAATGGATTTTAAGTGAGGTGATTGTGCATCTGAGGGATCATTTCTGGTTGTCACAATCGGCACGGCACACTTGGCATCTGGTGGGTTGAAGACGCAGTGTTGCTAAAGAATTAGCCGGTTGAACACATCTATAGTACTGACTGAAGTAAATGGACTAAATTAAGACTAACATTCTGTTTCCAAAAGACCAAGAACAGCCCATTCTTTTTCTAAGTAACTGGGAATGCACACAGAGAACTCAAGATCACTGAGGTATGCATGAAACACACAAAAAGCATATTTAATACTGGACACTCTTTGTGGAACACCATAAGAAACAAAAGAAGGATAAATATTAAAATTCTATGATGTCTGTCAGAGTTGTGATAAGCTAACATCAGATGAGAGGACTAGAGTTTCTAGAAACCTCTCTGTCTCCATGGAAACAAAGTCCTTCACTTTCTCATCTGGGAGGAATACTACCCCATCTTGGCAGTAACAAGAACAGCTGCTGGAAACAGAATTATTTTCTATTGCTGCAAGTTGACTTAGACAGTCATCATGTCTTTTTTTTTTTTTTTTTAATTTACAGGACAAGTGCATGCTTTGAAAGTATTTCTTTCTCCAAAGCCATAGAAGAATACTCTTAATGGGATCAAAACACATAAAGCACACGGGACAGTGCCTGTACATAGTCAGTGTTCAAAATATTTTGTCCAGTATTGTTATCAATAGCAGTGTTCATCATCTTCATCATCTTCATCTTCGTCTTCATCACCACCACCACCACCACCATCAGCAGTAGAAAGGATTGAGGTCAGTACCACGTCATCCTTTCTCAAGACAGAGCTGAAACAAAATGCCCTTCTTAGATCTGACCATGACATTAGCACCTACATTTAAACTACTGTCCACTGTGACCACAGTCACATAGTGTCAATTTACTCCTATTTGAGGTCCATAGGCTTCAACTACTTTAGAGAGAATCAGGTAACTACAGAAGAATGTCTTGCTTTGTGAGGTATTTGGGATCCCAAAGACTAGTTGAGGATAATGCAATATAGTATATGTTTCCAATAGGATTATATCATATTTATTTAGGCTGCTCAGTTAAGAGCCTTTATATTCTTTATGCATTTTATTTATCTTAAAATCTGTCCTAAATATAGCATAACGTTTATAGAGTCACTGAACATGATAAAAGGTTATAATAATCCTTTAAGACAAACTTACTAGATATTCTATTAGGGAACATAAAAGACTTTATGGAAGTGGAATGTAAGTGTTTATTAGTACAGATATTTTGAAATCTATATATAGCTTTTCATAACAATTTTCATGAAATTTTTGAAGATCCTTCATATGCATGGGTTTCAAAATTCTTTCATATCAAAATAAATGTATCTTTTAATTCTAAAAATCAATATAGGCTGTACCACTAGAGGAAAAATTTCCCATATGTGAATATATCTTACTTCCTGGGCATTTAACCGGATAGGAAGCAGTGGTTTCCAGAGGAATCAGATCACCATCTCTCTGGGGACTAATCCTGTTCACACACAGTAAATCTCCCAATGAATCCACTTCTTTTTCACAGAGCTCTCAGGAAACTCAACATGGCCATATCTTGGAACCTTAGGAAGAGGAAAGTGGATGCCCTGTGTCTGTGCATCTACCTTAAATACTGCAAGTGAGTGTTCATGAGGAAGGAGTTGGAAATTCACTATTTATTTTATAGTTGATAATTATGTATTTATTTGACCTAGGAAATGCTATAGTTATTGAAGGTTGTGGCTGTGCCTGAAAACATGCATCACTCTTGAGCTACATGATCCTTACCATTCCATAAAGACATTAAACCCTCTATGAAGCAATGGTAGCCTTTAAGAAACTTAGTCTTGGGGCCAGCACTGGGCTGGAGTGAGTTAATATGCCTTTTGTGACACTGGCATCCTATATTGGAATGCTGGTTCGAGTTTTGCCTGCTCCTCTTTCAATCCAGCTTCCTGTTAATGAGCCTTAGAGACCCAGATGGAAAAGGGTATGTGAGTATGCAGTTAGAATGTGATCCTGTACAAGCCAAGGAGAGAGGCTGGATAGAAGTCACCCCTCTGGTATGTTGGTCTTGGACTTTCAATCTCCAGAACTGCGAGAAAATAAATTTGTGCTTCAACTATCAGATTTATGGTAGTTGGCTATGAAAATGTTAGCAAGTTAATGCATTCAGCTTTTGGTTTTGACTTTAAGATGTAAGAAGCATTAGACAGAACAAAATGATGTCATGAAAAAATCAGAAAAGATAATTCAAAACTTAGAAGGTAACTTAGAAAAAGTCGCTAAGCATCAGAAGAATGAGAGGCACATGTGACAGTCTGGAACTCATCCCACACTTCACAATCAAGTGCTGTGTATACTAGCACATCCCAATATTAGATGGCTCCTACAGGCATGAGCAAAAGATAAATGATTATTAATTTTGATATTGAATTTTACTATACAACATTATACAAACAGAACTGATAGAAATTTAATGCCCAGCATTTTGCTAAAAGCAAATGTGCTTCAAATTATTCATTATTTTTAAAATCTCTTAAGGAGCTTGTGTTATTATCACTGATGATGGCAAGAATAAAGATATCTACAAATGTGACTGTGACTTTTGTAGAAGTAGCCAGAAAAAATCCAGCCTATCAATTGGCAAATTGACTTGGTAAATATGCTTGTGAGTAAAAATAATACAGAATAAACCCAAAAGTGTTTGAATATCTCTATCCTATATTGTCTTCATCATTTTATCTTCACCTACTGTGTTATTAATTATGGTGATGACGTAGGTGATGACTGTCACTTGTGATCCTTTTTATAACTACAGGGAAGAGGAAGGAGTGACTGCATTCAATATCTCATTAGTTTTATATTAAATGCGATTTTGAGTTCCTGCTTTATTTTCTATAGAACACTTGGAATTTATCTTGGGATATTGAATATTTAATGAAGTTAGCCATTGATATAAGGGGAAATCTTAATAATAGTATAATATTTAACAAAATTTTAATAAAAACTATCACTAAAAAGTGTATGACCATGAATTGAGTGCCTAAGAATTACATGTTCAAATTTATGGAAATTTAAAGTTAGCTGCAGTGGCCAATCAGGCTTGTGTCATACATAGGAACTATATATGATTCATCCCAAGCTATTAATAAATTTACAAATATCTTAAATATAAGTACAAATCAAAAACTGAAGATTGGAAGGTCTTGGGGCCTGTGTGAGAAAAACTGGGGAACTGAGCACATCTTATCATAATAATGACGGAACAAGACATTTTGTAAACAAAAAAATCACAAATGCATGCCAAACTGAAAACTAAGCTTCTATCTATCTAACTGTCAAAATCTTTAAGAAATCTGCGCTTTAAGCAGCTAAAATGTAAAAATGTTGAAAACAGAACTCATGTTCCCACTAGCAATTGTTTCCTACAGAAAACCACAAAAGAAAAAAAATGTAGCGTGGACCTTGTATCCAGAGAGGTGGGGTTGACAGACCTAGAAACCATTTTTCAAGCTAATGAATGGAGTAGGATTTGCTGTGACCTATTTGGGAAGGGAGGCTACAATTCCTCATAAACTATTGAAAATAAAACTACTTAATATCCAAAGAAGCCTATTCAATACTATCCATTTATAAGTGTTAGAAAAATGGGGGCTGGCATTTTGGCACAACAGGTTAAGCCACTGCTTATGACACTAGCCTCCGGACACCTGCCTCTCATATGGGCATCAGTTCAAGTCCCTGCTTCTCCAATTCTAATCCAGCTCCTTGCAAATACAACTGGAAAAGCAGCAGAAGATGGTCCAAGTACGTGGGCCCACACATCCACATGGTTGATCCAGATGAAACTTTTGGCTCCTGGTTTCGGCCTGGCTGAGCCCCGAACTTGTGGCCAACTGGAGAATGAACCAGTGGATGGAAGATTGATATTTCTCTCTCTCTCTCTTCTTCCCCCTGCTGTGCTTCTCTCTCTCTAACTCTGCCTTTCAAATAAATAAATAAATAATTTGATGAAGTGTTAGGAAAATACAGGTAGAATTTTTTACTGTATGATTGCTTTAGGGAACAGGAGCAGTGAAGCTCTTCCTTGAAGATAAAAATTTCAAGTTGATATTATGTGTAATTCCATGCATGCAGCATGTATTTCCTGACAGGAAATAAAGGATCTCTGAATCAGAGAGTAGATCTTTCTTTATACATAGAACCCATTCTCCCCATGCCAGTTCCCCGTAGGCAGACATGGTGAAGGCCAAGTATACCTGCAAGTGCAACAACAAGATTTGCTCCACAAGAGATGAACTCCAAGATTATGAGGTGGCTATCACATCTGCCCCTCATCCCCTCTGAAGAATATTGTTTTCTAATTAAAATAATGTCCTGTGCTATAGAGAAGTAACTGCTCTTTGTATCTCCTCCTTTTCAAATAATAGCCTAAATTGTGGTTGCTCATTCCCTGAACTTTCTTGTATGTTGGATGTGTGGAAGCAAATAACTTGTCTTACCTTATAGTTTTCTGAAAGAAAAGAAATCTCATCTGAATTTGATGTCATTCACAGCTTACTGGACTTCATTATCTGTGACAATGATGGAAAAAAAATTAGGTGTCTTTTATTTTACTAAGTATGCTTTGTATGCGTCAAGGATTAGGGCATAATTTATACAGGATGGACGCGGGTTTGGCAGTCATTTTATTTGCCGCATCTATAAACATATCACACTTCCTTTCCCCTTGATATTAGTCAGGGTGCATGACTTGCTTTGTTTATATGTCAGTAACAGGTGTGAATTGAGGCTTGAAATGTGTTAACGGTTGGACTTATTCTTGGATTTCTATCGTGGCTGTGGAACAACATATCCTAGTAGCTCACCAGCTTCACAAGAATTAGAGGCACATGTGACTGTATGGAGTTCATCCCACACCTAGCAAGCCAGACAAGTGGTGTAAGCACGTTCCAAGGTTAGATGACCCCAGAGGCGTGAGCAAGCATACATGGTTATCAGTGTTTGATACTGAATTTTACTATTCACCATTATATGAATGGAGCTGAGTGATAGAAATACCACCTATCATAATATGCTAATTATAAGCAATATATAGCAGTCCATATATTATCCATATGTGCATTTATATTATTCATAATAATATATCCACATACCCATATGGATGATGATGACATTCTCTAGGATGTGACACCAGCCCCCTTTAGGGATGATATGCTAATGAGATTTGCTTTACAGACATAGATGCGTATCTGGGGGTGAGAGATGAATGCAGGGACATGCAGAGACAAACCAGCTGAGGAAGCTATTAAGAGCTGATGATCTGCAACAGGCCAGAATGTTCCTTCTAAAGTAAAGGAGGAGTCAGTGACTTTGATATTTATTACCAAGAAAAAGTGGATTTTTGTGAGTATTGTTGGGCTTAGAAAGCATGGATCACTTGCTACTATTTCTATAAGTGCTTTATCAGGATACTGGAAAGAGTATCAGTCTTAAGTGTGGCCAGAGAAATGAGATACCAGTAGCTAGATCCAGTGGAGCTAAAGCAGTGCGTGAAGCAGGCTGTTTCTATTCCATAGTAGCCACTTAGTTTGATGCATTTGATAAATTAACATACAATGTGTATTTAAATCAAATGTAATTGGTTTTTACTGTTTAAAATAAGAGATTTAACATATAATTTATAGCTTATCCTCCAAAATCAGACATAGTGGGAATTAGTGCCATTTGGTCCTGAACTGAGTAGTAACCAGTTCACTAGTATATGGCATGTACTCTTTTTTTAAGATTTATTTTTTATTTGTAAGGCAGAGATACAGAGGAAAAAGGGGGAGAGGGACAGAAAGAGAGAGAGAGAGAGAATATCTTCCATCTGTTCATTCACTCCCCAAAGGGCTGCACTATCCAAAGCTGGGCCAGGCCCAAGCCAGGAGCCAGGAACCTCCTCTGAGTCTCCCACATGGATGCAGGGGCCATCCTCTGCTGCCTTCACAGGTGCATCAGTAGGGAGCTGGATTGGAAGTTGAGCAGCTGGGACTCAAACCAGCACCCATATGGAATGCCAGCACTGCAGACAGAGCTCAGCCCTCCATGCCAGTGTTGTCCCTGGCATGTTATCTTGAATTGCTTAGGGTTCTTGTACATCCTAGCTCATTTACTTTATCTGATACAAGCTACTTTCATTTATTTCTCCCTTATCTAAATCCTGAGATCAATATTGATACAAGTTGTGTAGTGGGAAGTGCCATTGCCATTAGTTTACAAGTGGTAGAAGCAGGATACATTAATAAAGAAGACAGTACAGCTCATACTTGAAAACCATTGCCACACTGGATGACTGGAGAGCAACTCTGCCGAAAAGCTCTGGGAAGGGGTATGCAACACATCTCAGAGATACCCCCTCTCTGAGGTGAGAGGATTGCAGTAACTGTACACCTGCTGCAGGTTTTCATCAGTTGAGGAATGTTCTAGATGGATGGTTAATTCCTTGGCACGCTGTCACATGTGCATTGAGGAGAATACCATGGCTTTCTCCAGGAAGGGGAAAAAACCCACAAACTTGTGGGTGTTTGCCATTGAAAGACAACAGGAGCATCAGGGGAGGTCTGTTAAGAGAAGATTGCCGCAGCAACCGGCTCCTTTCCCCTGTTGAATTCCAGTCCATGCACACCCACACTGGAAATTACTGACATAGATGTATAAGCTTGATTAAAAGGGAGATTGCCAAGGAAGTGTGAAATATCAGTCCCCCTTTGTCTGGTACTGTGAAAAATACAGTAAGTTTTTTTGTCATTTGTTTTCAATAGAGAATGAATACAGCCACTTAAATTGACCATAGGAAAAAAAATTATGAACAATGTCATGACATCATGTATCAAATATGTGTTTATGTAAATCATAAAAATAACTATTTGACTTACAGTAATTAGACTGGTATTTGAGCTAGGAAAAGTACAATTAACTCAGGTTATTTAACATCCATACATCATGAAACTAACTGAAAAGAGTAAAGCTAGCCTGACATAAATAATTTTTAAAAAATGTTTATTGAAAACCACCCTTTGAGACGTGTGTATGTTGATTCAATAGCAAGGCCTTTCTCTAGATCAGATAGGCAGCAACAAGTAGAAGTCATGAGTCTATTTTGCACCATACCTGCACTGGACTCTAAAGCACAACTCTACATGTCTATGAGAGTTCTATCTGTGGACACTCCCAGCCAAACATTACATTTATCACATCCTAAATATTCTACTGGGTATTCCGTGAAAAATATTGGAGTCATATCATCCTCAAAATGTACAATCTCTTTACTTTCATCATCCATTGTAAATTTAATTGAAATAACAGAACTAATAATATTCACACACATTAAAAAGATCTTATTGTACCATTTGGTCATGCGTAATAGCAGATGACTTTTCTCTTTCAATATAGAGTTACAAGAAATAGACAAGAATGAAGGAAAAATGGAGCCAAAAAAAAAAAAAAAAAAAAGAGCAACAAGAAGAGCTCTGCTAACTGCCACTTTGCAGGCTCTCTGGAAACAACTACCGGGATTGAAAATTTCTATTTCAGCACAAAAAGAGTAATATCACCACAGATGTGTACACACATCCTTTTTGCTGTAGGAGCACAAACCAGTCGTGACATTTATGATGTTACCAGAGTAATGTGCTGAAGAATGATCATTCTGAATTTCTAACCCTAACTTCATGGAGGTACAAAATTTTACACCTGAAAATGTGTTGTGATAACTAATTTTCCATGAAATGGACTACCTATAACTTTTAATATACATAGAGAGCAACAATATTCCCTATGGCCATTGAATTTTGCAAAGCTCCAATATTATAACAGCATACATCCCATTGCACAGAAGCAGTGCATGATCTATAGAGAGGATTTAAGAGCGGACTTAACGATATTTACCTTCAGTGATTTTATCTGAAGATATTTTCCTCTCTCTGGCATTTGGTTAACATAATGAAAAGTACCAAATAGGAATTGAAAAACCTCCTGCTGGATTAGGGATGTGCTGGTATATTAGTACTAAACCTTCAGATCACATGTGATAATAACCTTTCTTACATCCAGGGATACTTAATAAAGTTTAGATTAATGAAATGAGTGATTACAACACATACCAACATCTCATTCTTATAATAGAGTAATCATCATACAATTAAAAGTCCAGGTCAGGCCGGCGCCGCGGCTCACTAGGCTAATCCTCCGCCTTGTGGCGCCAGCACACGGGGTTCTAGTCCTGGTTGGGGCGCCGGATTCTGTCCCGGTTGCCCCTCTTCCAGGCCAGCTCTCTGCTGTGGCCCGGGAGTGCAGTGGAGGATGGCCCAAGTGCTTGGGCCCTGCACCCCATGGGAGACCAGGATAAGTACGTGGCTCCTGCCATTGGATCAGCGCGGTGCACCGGCCATTGGAGGGTGAACCAACGACAAAGGAAGTCCTTTTTCTCTGTCTCTCTCTCTCACTGTCCACTCTGCCTGTCAAAAAATTAAAAAAAAAAAAAATTAGAAAAAAAAAAAAAAAGTCCAGGTCAAGATTTGAATCCTCTACTGAAAGCTGGTGTTCAGAACAGTTCAGTGTGGGGCTGGCATTGTGCACAGCAGGTTAAAGCTGTGAATTTGAGTCCTGGCTGCTCTTCTTCTGATCTTGGTGCCTGCAAAAGTGCCTGGGAAAATAAGGGAGACTTGTATGAAGTTCTGGGCTCCTGGTTCTGGCCTGGCCCAGCCCCGGCATGTGTAGTCACTTGGGTTGTGAACCTGAAGATGGAAGATTGTGCGTGTGACTCTGCCTTTCAAATAAATACACCAATAAAAAATTCATCTTGGGGAAACATTTTTAAAGTACCTTCGCCAATGAATGTTATTTATCTTTATAAAAGCCACGTTTCACAGCAGTAGGAATATATACCCAATTAATTATTCCATAATATGTAAAACACCTGTTTGGGAATAAGTGTTATTGAAGCCATAGTCTCTCTCCTCCCTTGTGCCTCATCTCTATCTATAATCACCATTCTCTTTCTCCTTGTACTTAATGGAACTAGGTTTGGAAACAGCAAGATGATTATCAACCTGAACATATTATTAGAGAGGAAAGATTAAATAGCCTGATCCCACAGATTCAAGGAGCTTATATTTAGTAAATGGAAAATATCTGAGAAAACTTCTGAAAATTTCAAGGTTATCAACTTATTTTTGAGAGGATGGTTATTTTGGAACATATGAAAAATTATTACTGGACTATTCTTTGAGTTTGAATTAAGACCATTACAAACAGAAAAATCAGTATTAACTTCCGAGGGAAAAACTACCTTATTCATGCTTGTTAACTGGATGAAGAATCTGCCTCCTTCACAGTTAAAAACTCCGCAGGACACATGTGACAATCTGTGGACACTATTAGAAATCCTTGATCTCACGTTGATACAGGAAAACTATGAAGTGGAAAATACAGGCTGTGCTGTAGATCCATGTATTATACATTCCCCATGCTCTTGGCTTGGCAGAATTCAGCATCCTGCATGGAATTCAAAGTGGAACGGAGTCTCAAGTTCTATAGAAGCTGAAGTATAGCAAATGTTCTGTTAAGACAATGTGACCTTCAAATTCTGAATTTAATGATTGTATTTCACTATTCAAGTCAGCAAGAAGTATCTGAAAGGTACACACACCTAAATTCTAGTGTGTCAGAAGGGCTGAGGCAATTGTGAAACCCTGTGTCACAGTCGCATTTGTTGGTGACTACATGAAGGACAGACAGGGTCCCGTGCTTGCCATTATCACAGGGGAGATTTGAGCAACTCTTGTGTCATTGTTTTCTGTTGAGAATACTTTTCCCCCAGGTTCTTTTTTGATTCAATAGACCAAACTGCTGTTGGTTATAAATGACAGTATCCATTGTTTCAAACAATGAACCCTAGGTATTTTTTTGCACTAGAGAAGTTTAAATTCAACAGGATTTCAGGAAAATAAATTAAATCTAGAATTGGTTACAGGACATGGGACTGAAAAGAGAAAAATTAAACCATAAAAAGGGAAGACTAGCAAACTGTGGAAATCAGCGAGAAATTACAAATTAAGTGACTTTCTCTGAACTAGTGAAAATGAAAAGCTCTGAGAATTTAATATCATAGGGGACAAGTGGGTTATGTTCTGGATTAACATGAATGACATTTAGAATGTCAGAATTGTGGGAGGGCAACTACTGCTTCTAGTATGACTGGACAGATTAAAGGAAGGGAATGAAAAGATCAAATGTTTGTATTTTTCACTCAAGGCATAGACTAATAACATTCTTGTTTATGATCAAATGTAATTTATACTTTTAGCCTTTTTTACTGGCATCTAAATTTCAGATAGATAGTTTGAGTCTGAAACTTGCCGCATTATGTCTTCATGGGGAATTTTCTTTTGTGGAAGTTTGGTCATTGTTCTTCAGTGAGTGGCAGCTGGAGAATTTAAATGGGAGAATATAAAGAGAGCCATAGGATTCTGATCACATCAACTATGTAGCTCTCATAAAGCGTTCTTTGCCACAAAGCATTCTGTCTTCTGATGCTTGAAATAGTTTCAATTGTTGAAAATTTTTTATTCTGTTTTATTCTGCTTTGTGTGAAGACCTCGTTATTCCCCATTCTGGACCTTGTTTTGGAGGGAGAAATAAACTATGTTCTTGCCTTACTCCATCACCTCACGGTGTCCCCAGACCTTTAGAGTCAAAGCTGTATTATGTTCCAAGTAAAGAAATGCAAAATACATATTGAAAAATTGGAATGACTCATATGTTATAAAATAAACATGAAGAATTATTATATAAATGGATTTTTGACTCAACAAAAAGAGAAAGGAATAATTTTAGATTCAGTACAAAATCCCACAATCATTCATGCTAAAAACTCTTAACAAACTTGAGGTAGGATGGAATTTTCTAAACTTGGCAAAAAGCATCTTTGAAGATCCAATAAGAAATATGATGAGAGATGTAAGTAATGTTTTTTTTCATACTTTATTTTTTTAACTTTTATTTAATGAATATAAATTTCCAAAGTACAGCTTATGGATTACAATGGCTCTCCCCGCCCCCCCCCGTAACTTCCCTCCCACCTGCAACCCTCCCCTTTCCCGCTCCCTCTCCCCTTCCATTCACATCAAGATTCATTTTCCATTATCTTTATATACAGAAGATCAGTTTAGCATACATTAAGTAAAGATTTCAACAGTTTGCACCCACATAGAAACACAAAGTGAAAAATACTGTTTCAGTACTAGTTATAGCATTAAATCTCAATGTGCAGCACACTAAGGACAGAGATCCTACATGAGGAGTAAGTGCACAGTGACTCCTGTTGTTGACTTAACAATTTGACACTCATGTTTATGGCATCAGTAATCACCCTAGGCTCTAGTCATGAGCTGCCAAGGCTATGGAAGCCTTTAGAGTTGACTGACTCTGATAATTTTTAGAAAAGGCCATGGTCAAAGTGGAAGTTCTCTCCTCCCTTCAGAGAAAGGTACCTCCTTCTTTGATGACCTGTTCTTTCCATTGGGATCTCACTCGTGGAGATCTTTCATTTAGGTCATTTTTTTTTTTTTTTTTTGCCAGAGTGTCTTGGCTTTCCATGCCTGAAATACTCTCATGGGCTTTTCAGCCGGATCCGCATGCCTTAAGGGCTGATTCTGAGGCCAGAGTGCTGTTTAGGACATTTGCCATTCTATGGGTCTGCTGTGTATCTCACTTCCCATGTTGGATCGTTCTCTCCCTTTTTTGTTCTATCGGTTAGTATTTTCAGACACTAGTCATGTTTATGTGATCCTTTTGATTCTTAGTCCTATCATTATAATCAGTTGTGAACTGAAATTGATCACTTGGAATAGTGAGATGGCATTGGTACATGCCACCTTGATGGGATTGAATTGGAATCCCCTGGTATGTTTCTAACTCTACCATTTGGGGCAAGTCAGCTTGAGCATGTCCCAAATTGTACATCCCTTCCCTCTCTTATTCCCACTCTTATATTTAACAGGGGTCACTTTTCAGTTAAATTTCACACTTAAGAATAACTGTGTATTAATTACAGAATTAAACCAATAGTATTAAGTAAAAGAGACAAAAAAAATACTAAGAGGGATAACGTATTAAGTTGTTCATCAACAGTCCGGGCAAGGGCTGATCAAGTCACCGTTTCTCATAGTGTCCATTTCACTTTAACAGGTTTCCTTTTTGGTGCTCAGTCAGTTGTCACTGATCAGGTAGAATATATGATATTTGTCCCTTTGGGACTGGCTTAATTCACTCAACATAATCTTTTCCAGATTCCTCCATCTTGTTGCAAATGACCGGATTTCATTGTTTTTTACTGCTGTATAGTATTCTATAGAGTATATGTCCCACAATTTCTTTATCCAGTCTACTGTTGATGGGCATTTAGGTTGATTCTAGGTCTTAGCTATTGTGAATTGAGCTGCAGTAAACATTAAGGTGCAGACCGTTTTTTTGTTTGCCAATTTAATTTCCGTTGGGTAAATTCCAAGGAGTGGAATGGCTGGGTTGTATGGTAGGGTAATATTCAGGTTTCTGAGGAATCTCCAGACTGACTTCCATAGTGGCTTGACCAGTTTGCATTCCCACCAACAGTGGGTTAGTGTCCCTTTTCCCCCACATCCTCGCCAGCATCTGTTGTTGGTAGATTTCTGTATGTGAGCCATTCTAACTGGGGTGAGGTGAAACCTCATTGTGGTTTTGATTTGCATTTCCCTGAAGCAATGGTTTTTTTGAATACAACACCCAAAGAATGGCCCATAATAGAAAAGGTGATGTTACATTTTATCAAAATTAAAAATTTTTGCTCTTAAAAATATAAGATAAAATGTTTGTAAATGTATCAAAGGACTTATGCATAGAATTTATAAAGAACTTAAGGATATAAGCAAACAATAGACAAAACATTTGATGAAATACATATACAAATGGCTAATGAACACTTGAAAAGATGTTCTTAATTGTTTGTAATGGAAAAAATAAAATGTAAATCTGTAGTAAAATACCATTTGGCATCCACTAGATCAATTTTAACAAATAAGACAAACAATAAAAGATGTTGATTAGGATTTTGCTGGTACATTTATTGTAGAATAATTTTCACAGTTTCACCTCTCCATACAATAGAATATTATGTAGCAATGAATCTAGGTAAACTTGTGACACATACTTATGCTACAGTTGCACTCTCAAACATGCCTGAGTTTTCTCTCTTTGTTAAACAAATTTCCACAAGTGTAGAGTTTTAAAATAACATAGATTAATTATGTTAAAATTTTGTAGGTTAGAACTTTGTCTCAAGGCTCACTGGGCTAAAATCAAAGTGCCAGGTAGGCTGGTCCCTTCTGGAGGTTATGGTGGAAAAATCTGTTTTCTGACCTTTTCCAGTTACTAAAGACTGTTTGTGTCCTTTGGGTCATGGTCTCATTCTCCATCTTCAAAGCTATCCTCATGGCATCTCTGACCATTCTTCAGTAGTCAAATGTCCCTCTTTCATCGAAGTGGAGAATTGGCCTCATCTCAGGCCCAACATCTTTTTTTTTTTTTTTATGAAGTGTGTTTTATTCATACTTTTCTCATTAACCATGTTTTTTTTTTAGTTTTTATTTAATTTATGCAAGTTTCATGTATTTCATATATACAGATTTAGGAACATAGTGATATTCCCTGCTCATGTTCCAACCCTCCTTCCTCCTCTCTCTCCCATTTGCACTCTTAATTTTCACAAAGTTCTACTTTCAGTTAATCACATCTTTAAGTGCCCTTTGCTATGTAAGCAATCCCTAGGATGAAGGTATGGATAATTGTGTTCACAAATGTCATGGTAAGTAAAGAAAGCCAGGAACAAGAGGACACAGTATTCCACTTTTATAAAACATCCAGAAAAGACACAGGGACAGAGACTGAAATTAGGGAAGTGGTTTCCTGCGGAGAGGTTAAGATTGAGCATTTACTGTAGAATTGCTATGAGGGACATTACTGGTAAAATGAAAGTGCTCTAAAATTGACTTCAGTAAAGTACGCACCATTAGTGAAGTCACAAAGAAATTGTACATCTCAAGTGGGTCAGTTTTTCAGTGAATAATATATATTTTTTTAAAAATTAAAATAAAACAAAAGAGGAATTTCACAAAGCCACAAAACTATTTACTCCCTTAAACTGTTGTCTCCACTAAAGAGTTGCAAGCTCTATCTTCCACATCGTTATTAAAATGTACCAATTTTTTCACACATAAGAAGTCCCTAGCATGTTTCTATGAGTGCTTGTTGGCTTTTCTAATGGATTAAGTGCAATAAACTCAGCAAATTGAGGTTCAATTGGACTGTATTATAGAAAAGTGGGACTTCTGCAAGAAATCAAAAACTAAATGTCATGTGTTGACGTAGTGATATTTTCTAGAAGGTAATCATGTGTTAGCAGATGTTAGATGACTGAAGTGTTTGTTTTAGAAAACTTTGTCTTAGGCATTAGTGAATATCTATCCATCCAGCTATCTATTTAAATTTCAGTAGCAGCATATGGGTGTTTGTATTCTTCAATAATTTATAAGCTGGTTGTCATAAATTTTTGCACTGAAAGACAAATTTAGTATATTAGTTGCATGATATAATTGTATTAATGATTAAAAACAAAATATGATTAAGTTACAATATTTAGATAATTGTTTTGTCAGTATAATGATAACTCCAGAAAATAGTAAAAATTTACGGTTAGAAATTGAGTTGTCTAATGGAAATTAGACATAATATTTTAAATGTATTAGCCAGAAAGAATTATCATTACTCTCAATAAAGAACCTATGTATATGCCCATGTACTTTTAGGTCACAGTGATCCTTGTAAAGAAAACGCTTATTTTAACATCTTATATCTGGTTTTTAAATATGAGGAAATATTGAAAACCTATAGGTTAATACTTATCTTTTCCAGTAATAGAAACTTAATTGCTGTTCTCTTTAGTCAGTATCACCAAAGACATGGTATTTATTTTTATTTTCTATAGTTCTCATTATTTCCATTTGTGTAGATTATTTTAAAAATAGAAATGAATGAAGTAGAAATAAGGCAGATAGAATTAAAATGAATGTAAACCAGGAATAGAATATTGGAAACTATAAATTTGCTGTATATGAGAGTATTTCAAAAATTCCATAGAAACAGAAATGAAAAGATAGGTCTATGCTGGTGCCCAACATTTTGAAACCCTGATACAAAAGATCTTCAAAACCTTCATTGTTGTTAGAAAGCTATGCATGGATTTCAAAACTTTTTGCACCAAAATAAATGTCTACTTTCATTCCATTTTTCCATAAGCTTTTTGAAATACCCTCAATAATCAGTGAGTGGAAGTAAAGTAGTGAGATGAAGAGACAAAAAGAAGTGATCTATGAAGTGTGTATATATTTAAGAAAAACATATATATCCGCTAGTGAGGAAACGATATAGAGACTGGGAGCATGGCAAGGAAGGAGGGCGGTGATGCAGCTCAGGGCCCTCACTTATAGGTAAGGCTCTGAGAGACTTAGACAGCAGGCGCATGAAGAGCAGATGGCTTATGAGTTTGACAGACTCCAGATCAGGTCCTGCCTCCTGGGGCCACCATCATGGTGCAGCAGGTTAGTCAGAACACCATTTCTAGTCCTGGCTGCTCCCCTGCATATCCAGTCTCCTGGGGAAGCAGAAAAGTGGCCCAAAGACATTGTCCCCTGCTACCCATGTAGGGAACTCTGATGGAGCTCTGGGCTTCTGGCTTCTGCTGGACCATGGCTAGCATCTGGGGAGTAAACAGCTGATAGAAGATCTGTCTCCCACTCTTGTTCTCACTTGCTCTCTCTGCCATTCAAATCTATACATACCACAGATCCTGCTTCTCATGCCTGTGGTGTGGACTTGAGGAGTTCATGGTTCTTAGTTTTGGTTGGTAATGTCTGCATCATATACTTTTAAATGCTCCATGGTGGTAGATTCTTTAGATGACTCCCTTGGGTTTCAATAAAAACACCACTACTGATATCCGTTCTAGTAGCTGTAATTTTCATTGAATCATCTGATGTTTTCAGTTTCTAAAAACATATAAGAGAACATTTACATCACACATGTATTCTACCCTTTTATATATCCTTCAAAATAAACTAATTTATTATAGAAAAGAATCACACTACCACAGTTTACTGCTTTCTGGCATTTGCTATTTATTTTATCTATAAATGAATACATATGTGGTGGGCATAACCAAAATATGTTTTATTAAGAGATTATTAGAATAATCTGTAGTTTTAGTTATTATTTATTATAAAGTCCTATAACTATATATTTTATAAGTACTTGTTAGTATAGAATTTCACTTATTTTCCTCAATATGCAATTTTTTTTTTTTTTGGACAGGCAGAGTGGACAGTGAGAGAGAGAGAGAGACAGAGAGAAAGGTCTTCCTTTGCCATTGATTCACCCTCCAATGGCCGCTGCAGCTAGTGTGCTGCGGCTGGCGCACCTTGCTGATCCGAAGCCAGGAGCCAGGTGTTTCCTCCTGGTCTCCCATGTGAGTGCAGGGCCCAAGGACTTGGGCCATCCTCCACTGCACTCCCGGGCCACAGCAGAGAGCTGGCCTGGAAGAGGGGCAACCGGGACAGAATCCGGAGCCCCCACCAGGACTACAACCCGGTGTGTCGGCGCCACAGGCGGAGAATTAGCCTATTGAGCCGCGGCACCGGCCCCTCAATATGCAATATTAATACTAAGCTGTAAAATTATACAATTCCTAACGAGAGATTAAGTATTCATTTACTTAATTCAGTTACTCCAAGATTATAACAAAAGTATATTAATTCTAATGGGTTTACTTTTTTTCCTTTTTATAAATTTATATATTTATTTGATTTGAAAAGCAGAGTAACAGAGATAAAGGGAGAGACAGAGATCTCCTGTTAGCTAATTCACCTCCCAAATGGCCTCAGCTGCCAGTGCTGTGGCCAGGCCATAACCAAGAGCCAGGGGCTGCTTCTGGGTCTCCCATGTGGGTGCAGGAGCTGAAAGACTTGGGTCATCCTCCGCTGCTCTTGCAGCTGCTTTAGTTGGGATCTAGGTTGGAAATTAGATCTGAATCAGAAGTGCAATTAACTGGCGCCCATATGGGATGCCAGCATTGTAGGTCATGGCTTAACTCACTATGCCACAGCACAGTTCCTTGGTTTACTTCTTATTTGAATTGTGCATATGTAGTTTGCTCAGTGAAGCAAGCATATTTAAAAATATTTTTATATACATCTAACCACATCAACCTAAAAGCACACATAGAACTTATATGTCTACCCAGATTCAGGACAAGAATTTGGATTGATGTTGTTTTTAATCTTTCTGTTTTGCTGTTTTTAGATTCTCATTTAAAAGGGGATAAATGGAGCTCCTGGTATATTTCTTTTCATATTACTGAAACAGGAGATTTACTGAATATTTTGTCTTATTTCTTTGCTAGTGGTTTTCTCATTATCCTAGTTTCTTCTGAGAAATGAAATTTGTGTTATGTGGCTTCTAGAGAGTTCACATTATTTTTCTGTGTAGAAATGGAATATGCTTTTGATATACTTAGGTTACAGTTGGCTTATATATCATGGGAACACTTCACTGTAAAGTGTTTTGAAGTTGGTATTTGCATTTTAAGAGTTCTACATGCCTGTTATTTCTAACCTCACTGACCTAAAGAAAATACTACAACTGTACAATAGCAGGGTTTGTAAGAAAATATGAATCTTATTTTTGTGATTCTGTTTTTCTCTTGTTTTTCTGGAATAATCCTGGCCAGTACTCAAACAACAGTAAGATAACAGCATCACACCATATTTTCATTGAATAGGAAACAAGAAAGTCTTCTATCTAGCTCTGAAGAACAACAGATGTACCCACAGCCCATAGCAGTATAATAAGAATAATAAAGTTAAATATTGATAATTACCATCCAGATAAAGCCAATGTGTTGCTTCTGTTTCTGTAGAAGAATTTATTTGTTCATAGGTTTGATTTCAAGATACATCCATGTCAAGTAGAAGCAGTAGCATTGTGAGATTCAGTCCTTTGAATGATTCACAAAGTGGTTTTCTGGAAGTTCCAAGGGCCCAAGCAAATTATTTCTACCCAAACATCCATGTACAGCTGCACAGATTGTGTATCCCACAGCAGCAGAGGCACATGCATGTAGACCTAAACTCAACACAACTTTTCCAGGAAGGCCAGATGATGAATATTTTAGGTTTGGTAGATACCACGTTATCTTTGTCACATATTCTCCTTTTATTTTATTACATTATTTATAAATGAAAAGTGTTTTTTTATAGATTTGTGGAATATAGACAAATTATTTCTAGGCCAGATTTGTCCTGTGAGATCTTTTTCAAATAACTGCAATACAGTATACATTACAATACAAATACCCTGCAATACAGTATACATTACAAAACTGTAAATGATGGCCTTCATATTTTTTGGACTGAATTATGCAGTGGAATGCGGGCAAGAAAAATTATTAATTTACCTAGCAATTATATGTTGGTTAGAACATGCCAATGACTGCTGTATATGCTGTTCTGGATTCAAAAAGCAAACAAAATGGTCATATCTACACATGCTCAATGAAACTTACAATCAAATGCAGTGAGATGGAATAGAGAGTATGAGGACTTCACAGTGTAGTGTGTTAGGAAACATTCTTCTTTGAAAAAATTATGTTCACATTAAAATTTGATGAATAAGTGATTTCTGAAATTAAAATGGAGGCAATATCTGATACCAAAATGGAATTGCATTGAAATGAATAAATGTATGTGCATGGGGATTTCTAGATAGTATCCCTTGGAGATATGGATTTAGTTGGTATTAAATGGATTTTTGTTATTTGAAATCATGAGATTTGATGAGAGCATTACAGACAGAGTGTGTCAACAAAGAACTGGGGTTATTAATAAAGGATTTGGAGGGCAGTTAGCGGCCCAGGACACTAGGAAAGAGTGCCCAGAGAGAGACCAGGCGAACAAGCAAAACAGTTAAGTTTCAGACTATAAGAGGTGAGGACAATGATTGTTTCACAAAGAATAATCAGAAGAGTATACTGTGGAAAAGTGGTGGACACCAGGCAGGATAACACAGAAACTTCTGCACCTTGAACAGCAAATGTGTGGGGTATCCTTGAGATGTGGCATGGGAATGGGGCAGGGCAGCCACCCGTTTCAGGAAACACATGCTGTGTCTGCCTCTAGTGACTGCAGCAAGCTCCCAGCTGAGGCAACAGACCGAAAAAATGCGGCTGCTCTACAAATGAGACCTGAGTTCTGATTGGCACTGGATCATTTTGTTTCTATCTTTAGTTATTCTCACTCCAGCACTCAATTGGACTTTATATGTATTCATAAATTATGAGCTATAAATGAAAATTTTCCAACCAAAGATGATTTGTATATTAAGTCCTAAAAATTGCTTCTCCGTGGCTCATCAAATGAAGTTCCTCATTTTGTCTTCTAAGCTTTCTTTGAATATCCAACTGCTGTCATAACTGTGGACTTTTACATTCCACTTAACCTTTGCTCATTTGAAATCAGTGATTTAGTTTTAGGACGTATGGTAGACATGCCCAGTACCTGCTTCTCAGTATTTCCCAGTCCTTGTTGTGAAATGACTATACTGTGTTCTCACAGATAGGGCATGTTTACAAAATCGGTCTGTGAAGGTGAGATGCCCATTTTTTGTTCTCATATTTAATCATGAAGATTAATGAAGATTCTATTAATTAAAAATTGCACTTCTGTTGTATGCAACATTAATTAAGAACATGCCCCAATTGGGCATATAAACCTGGGACATCCTCTGAACAAAGGTGAGATATAAATGCATCATAAATAAAGGGACAGAAATTATTCTTACATCATATTGCAAATGTGTAATAGATTTTGTAGGTGAAACTAAACCAGATTTTTCAGTTAACACTAATATGTTTGAAAAATCCTTAAGGTGAGATATTTGTGTATGGATGTATTTCTCAGACAAAGGGAGCCCCATCTTTCCCATTGGCTGGTTCACTCTCCAGTTGTCTAGAATAGATCGGGCTGGTCCAAGGCCAAAGCCAACAGTTTAATCCAGGGCTCCCATGTGGGTGTCAGGAACCAGCTACTTGAGCCATCACCTGAGGCTACTGAGAATGTATATGAGCAAAAAGCTGGAGTACGATGCTGGAGCCGGAGCTGGACCCCTGCGGTCTGATATGGGGTGAAAGTTGTAAGATGCTGGCAGAATACCCACGCCGTAAGCACTGATTTCGATTTTCAGTGGTTTCAGTTTGTCAGTATCTTTTAATTCACAGAAGGAAAAGAAAAATCTCTTTAGGTAAATGGACTCTGTTTCCGACCAATCCAACAGCAGTTGTAGGCCTTTGTCAGTAACACTGGGCATCCAAGTTCCTGAAATGCTGACGTGAAAAGCATCTGTGCTGTAAAAACAATGAATAGGAGACATTGCCTGTGCATAGCATTGTGAGATGGCATTCATGTTGGAGGAAACTGAGCCCCGAAACCAGGTGTTACAGACCAGCTCAGGGTTCCTCCAGAACACTTTGGAACCATTGAAATAACTGTGCTACAGTTTCTTTGTGTCGTGGATGAGGGAATGAAGGGGAAGCTTGGAAATCTGTTTGTGTTTCCTTGCCACCTCGAGGAGTCCCGTCAAATTCTACCCCCATATCCCAGGAACGGTCCGTGGATACAGGACAGGAAGGAAACTCAAGAGCTAATTGCCACATGAGGACATCACAGATAGATTGACAACAGTGTCTTCTTTAAATTGAATGCATAATGTATAATTTACATATTTATATGAATCAGTGGTCCTTGTTACATGTCCTTAAAATAAAATAAAATAAAATAAAATAAAATAAAATAAAATAAAATATTTTACTTAGGTTATGCAAAATCTGCAGGGAGGAAATTGTTCAGTATGGTACAAGAAATTCAAGCCAGTGAGATAATGATGCAAATTCGCATTGGCCTGGATAATAATGTAAATATTAATAGTAATTAATAGAAAC